AGTAACAATTTGATTAAATCAGGCAAGTTTGTGTATGAAAGCGTGATTTTTTTCTTCATTTTTTCATATAAAATTCCATGTTGATCAAAAATTTTTTATTAGTGAGTGACACTTGACCCCCTGTAGATCTGCAATGTCCCGCGACTGATAATGGATTATTTCTCAATATCCAACTTGACCTCTTAGAACCACTCTTTGCTTTTCTTCAAAATATGAGCAGCAGCAGAAGGCATATTATTATTGAAATCAAAACATGGAGCAGATCTTGCTGGGTAATTATAAGATTCTCATCAAAGATGGTAAATGATTGATATTTTGCTTTTTGTAATCATAATCAATTATATTTATTAGAAGATGATGCAAAGGCAGCATGACTGAATTTGAATATGTGATGTTTGATTATCAGAAATTAACAAGTTTTGAAGCACACAGACTACCTTGAACACTTTACAGTCATTCTTTCATCTTCCTTGTGTACAAAAGGCTAATCTGACAATGCGCTCCCAATGATACAATGATGCAACAGAATTCCAGGGGGGGGACGCATGGCTCTGGAGCTGAATCAAAGCTGCATCAATTGTCAAGGATATCCTAATCTTGTCTAATCTTCCCTAATAGTATCTAACTTGGCATTACCTGAGGGGAAGATTAGGGAAATTTTTGCCCACCTTGAAAAAGCCTTCTAATGTGTCGACAATTTTTCATCTGTGGGAGAAAAAATTCCATGGATATGAAAGACTTGCAATTGCGCATTTGTGATGGGAAATTTTTTTTTATTAAATCTGATACCTGTGATCATCATCATCAGATTTATTATTCATTTTTAAAGAATTATGCAATGAAAGGAAAAAAATAAATTTTTGATCACCCCAACAACCAAGTCAAACCTGGTCCAAGAGAGGGTAGATTTATTTATTTATTCTTTGTGAATCCCAAGGATCTGGATAGACATATTATTTTTTTAAATTGGGTCCTTAAAATTATTTCTGCATGGCCTTGGTATTATTTATTACTTGGGTGATGCAATTGTTTGATATGTCAATGATAATATTCCAGCTTAACTTCCACTTGGAGTGGATGTAGCAGGTATGCACAAGTTGTTTGGACAAAACTGGAGATCTATTTTTATCATGTATAATGGATTATTTCTCAATATCCAACTTGACCTCTTAGAACCACTCATTGCTTTTCTTCAAAATATGAGCAGCAGCAGAAGGCATATTATTATTGAAATCAAAACATGGAGTAGATCTTGCTGGGTAATTATAAGATTCTCATCAAAGATGGTA